GGCTAGCAGCCCAGTGCTTTAACCACTGCACCACCAGAGCTCCCTGGCAACTCCAAAGTAGGCAGCTATACTTGGCCTCTCAGAGCTGTGTGATAATGGGAAACTGCCTGTTCCCCTGGGCAGACCCGCCTTCAGTCCTTGTCCCTCACCAGCCCATGCCCATGTCCATGTTCATTCTAATCTCACCTCCAGCCCACACCTAGCTCCACCCATTGTCCTCCCCAGCCCCAGCCCTTGGCCTCCCCTTCTACCCAAGCTCAGCTCGACACAGCTGCGTACCTTACTCTGAGTCAGCCTGTGCTTGTTGTTCAGTACAAACACGCCCTTGTCCACGGCCACCAGCCCCACTCGGGCCCCGTGGTCACCCTCTATCTTAAGGGTCATCTGCTGTCCTGGCAGGTGTGACTTCTCATTTCTCCCACCACCTTTTACCACCAGCTGTGGGGAGGGAGGGGAAAGGAAGGAGGAATAAGCCCTCTGAGGCCCCAGCCCCGTCAGCCACGGACAGAGGGGGCCTGGGCTAGACTGAAAAGCAGAGAAAGGTGTAACCGGAGAGAAGAGAGATGGACAGATTGACGGCAGAAGCAGAGTCAGACAGAAAGCTGAGAAAACAAGAGGAAGAGAGTTGCCCTGACATCGAAGCACAGGAAAGAAAGAACATGAAGCACAAAAGAGGAGGAGGGAGGTGCCGTGCAGACGAGAGCCCTCCACCCGGGAGAGAGAACTGTGTGAGCAGTCGGCCCCCATGCGAGAGGGAGCCCACCGTGCGAGCAGAGGGCCCTCCACGCACAAGAGAGAGCCCACCAGGTGAGCAAATGGCCCCCACACGAGAGGGAGCGCACCATGCAAGCAAACGGCCCCCCTCGTGAGAGAGAGCCCACTGTGGGAGCAGACGGCCCCCCACACACAAGAGAGAGCCCACCGTGGGAGCAGACGGCCCCCCACACACAAGAGAGAGCCCACTGTGGGAGCAGACGGCCCCCCACACACAAGAGAGAGCCCACCGTGGGAGCAGACGGCCCCCCATGCAAATGAAAACATCTCCATGTAAATGACAGGACCAGCTATACAAACGGAGAACCCCGCTGAGCACGTGGAGAAGCCCTCTAGGCCAGGTGATCAGCCCTCCGTGGTAGAGCAGGGCTCCGCTGTGCAAATGGACAGGGGATGGGGACTGATGGAGAGAGGCAGCAGAGGCGATGCAGGACTGAGCCCCAGGTGGACACGAGGAGAGGCCCTGGGAGCTCACCGTGCCCACACAGGAGTCCTTGACGTCCACCCACACGGAGTCGGCCACTATCTCCCTCTGGCCATTGGTGCCTATCATCGTGTAATAGGCCACCAGGCGGAAGGAGGGGATGAAGTCGGTGGTGATGGTCAGAGGGAGCACCACCGGGTCCTGGCCAGGCTCCCGCTTTTGGCGTCCGGCCTTCAGCAGCTTCCCCTTGTTCATGATCTGGGGGACAGGGAGAAGGGAGGGTGGGGAGATCAGGGATTGGGGAGGAGCCCCAGTGGGGCTGCAGGAGCGAGGAGGAGGGGCTGCAGGTGGCACGGACCAGGTAGGTGTAGTAGCGGATGCGGGCCTGCACGTTAGGGTCTGCTCGCAGGTGGAAGTTGACATGGAGGGTTTCGCCTGGCTTGAGCTCGAAGCGCGGCACGGAGAGGTGCAGATAGTTGTTGGAGCCGCCCATGGTGTTGTAGGGCTGGGCCTCCATGGTCCGGGAGGCCTGCCGGGCCTCTGGGAGGCCCTCCTTCTTCGTGCTCACCTTGCGGGTAGCAGAGAGGAGTGTGAATAATGGCCCCAGTAGTGCCCCATCCTAATCCCCGGGACCTGGGACTTCCACATGGCAACAGGGATGGTGCAGATGAGATTGAGTTAAGAATGCTGAGAGGGGAGAGGACCTCGGCTTATCCGGGTGGCCCAATGTCATCACTCAAGTCTTTATAAGATGGGAGTAGGATTCCCTTAAGGAGCTCAGGTGGCACAACGCTTAAGTGCTTGGCTGCTAACAGAAAGGCTGGCAGTTTGAATCCACACACCGGCTCTGTGGGAGAAAGGCCTGGCAATCTGCTCCCCAAAAGATTACAGTCTAGGACACCCTACGAGGGAGTTCTGCTCTACACATGGGGTCACAATGAGTCAGAATCGACTCAATGGCAGCCAGCAACAGGAGTCCCTGGGCGGCTCAACTATTTAAAGGCTGAGCTGCTCACGCGAAGATTGGAGGGTCGAGTCCACCCAGAGGCACCTCAGAAAAAAGGCCTGGTGTCTACTTTTGAAAAAGCAGCCATTGGAAACCCCACGGAGCACAGCCCTGTGCTGACACAGTGAGGTCCCTGTGAACTGGAGTTGACTGCACAGCAGTGGTTTGGGGTCTTTGGTCAGGAGAGACAGGAGAGCAGCAGTGGCTCGGTGGGAGAATCCTCGCCTTCCATGCAGGAGACCCAGGATCGAGTCCCGGCCAGTGAAGCTCCTGCACAGCCCCCACCCGTCTATCCCTGGAGTCTTGCATGTTGCTAGGACACCGAACAGGCTTCAGGGGAACTTCCAGACTAAGACGGAAGAAAGACCTGGTGATCTACTTCCAGAAAACAGCCGATGAAAACCCTATGGATTGCCAGGATCTGACCCCCCACTGCTCATGGGGATGGTGCAGGAGCAGGAAGTGTTTTGTTCTGTGTGTGGGGGGTCACTGTGAGTTAGGGGCTGACTCCATGGGAGCTGACAGCAGCAAACGAGAGTCAGAGAAGGAGCTGGGATGATACAAGCAGAAGTCAGAGAGAGAGACTGGAAAACACTGTGCGCCATTGGAGGACGGAGGAGGGTCACTAGCCAAGGAATGCGGGCGCCCTGTCAGAGCTGGAAAAGGCCAGGGAGGAGATTCTTCTTCTTTTTTTTTTTATTAGGATTTGGGTGAAGATTTACAGAGTAAATTCACTTTTCATACAGAGGAGATTCTTCTTGAGAGCCTTCAGTAGGAAGCAGCCTTGCCGATCTCTCGACTTTGACCCATTGAGACTGACTTTGGATTTTGACCTACAGATCTCTCAGATAATAACTGTGTTGTTTTAAGAAAGGAGGGCTGTTTATGCACAGGGAGACAGCTCAGGGGGCAGGGGTGCATGGACAGATGGACACAGGGAAGAAGTAACTTTCGGGAGGAAGTGGGAAGGGAGCTGTTGCATTGGGGTATATTGTAGTCAATGTCATGAGACAAAATGTATATGAACTGCTGTATGGAAAGTGAATTTGCTCTGTAAATCTTCACCCAAATCACAATAAAAATAAAATAATAATAAAAAAAAACCTTTGTGTTGTTTCAAGTCACAAAGTTTGGAGTAATGTGTTATAGCAGCAGTAGTTAACTAATACATATGCTTCCAGCAAAGAGGGGTTGCCCAGCCTAGGAGTGGGATGGGTGCACACATCTGCATTGTGCATACAAGCCGTGTCCCCTCCCAACGAGGTGCAACATGACCAAGGACTGGGGCAGGGGCCCCTGAGGACAGTTGCACATATTTGCAGCATATACATGGGCCACATCACTTCCCAGAGAGGCACAACACAGCCAAGGCTACAGAACCAGAACTGAGCCCACCATGCACACATGTAACCCGAAGGGCCCTCGCAGCAGGACTCAGACTCCTCCATGAAAGCAGAGAACTGCATGGCAAGCAGGGCCCTCTCCAGGCACATGGGAGGCCCTCTGCATGCCAGTGAAAGAGCCCCATTCATCTAAACATGAACCCACTAAGCAGACAGCAGGACCCCACTGTGCACAGACAGGGTCCTCCATGCAAATGTCAGGATGCCTCTGTGCCAAGAAAGAGCCCCTCTGTGCAAATGAGACCCTCTCTATGTGTATCAGAACCCCACTGTGCAAAGGAGCCCCTCTATGCAAACTACAAAACCCTAACCTCTCTATGCAAATCAGAATTCTCTATGTAAATGACAGAACCTCATTGTGCAAAGAAAGAATCCCTCTATGCAAAAGGACAACCCCTCCATGTAAATGTCAGGACCCCATTGTGCAAATGATGGGACCTCTCTCCGCAGGTGGCCAGACCCTGCTGTGCACATGAGAACCCCTCTATGCAAATGAAAACATTTCTGTTTAAATGACAGAACCCCTGTATGCAAACATCAGGACCCCACTGTGCAAATGAGAAGCCTCCATGCACATGAGAATCCTCTATGCAAACGAGAACATCCCTCTTCACATGGCAGGACCCCTCTGTGCACATAAAGGGGTCTTCCCAGTGGGATGCCCACGGGGCCCCGACTCACGGTGATGGCCACCGGGCTCCGGCTATTGGGCATGTTGACACTCAGCTTGGCCACGCCGTCCGCCTGAGTTAAGGACTGCACCTTTTGGTCCTGGGCCACCACAGGGACTTGGCGGGCTGGAGATCCATCAGGGTTTGTCACAAAGACCTGTGGGGGACAAGGGCAGGTGGAGGGGGATCCGGAGGGGTGGAGAATCAGGGGGGCAGGGGTGGAGCCCCACCCGGGGTCTCACCATGAGGTCGAAGGGCATGGCTGGCTTGAAGAACTTGGGCGTCTTGGTAAAGTGGATCTGGTAGGGGGAGGTCACGATGGGGATCCCGGTGCGCTCTGCTTCCACCATGTCGCTGCCTGGGGGGGCCAGCTGTGAGGGCGGACTTCTGGGCCTCCCCCTCAGGCTGGGCTTCCCCACCTCAGACTGGACCCCACTTCCAGCCTCAGACTGGGCCTTCTCCCTCAAACCCCATCTTCATACCAAGCCTCCCTCAGACCGAGCCTCCTGCCTTGGACCGGGCCTCCCCTTCTCTCAGACAGGGCGGTCCCTTGGACCCGGGCTTTGTCTTCTGAGGGTCTCCCCTCTCTGTGGACTGGGCCCTGGGTGCAGACCAGGCCTCACCTGAGTGCAGGATGACAGTGGCCGACACATACAAGGACTTCCCCACCAGGGCTTCGGGCTGGGAGGGCTGCACCCCCTTCAGCAGGACATCTCGGCTCAGCACCGCCTCCCCGGTGCCATCCTCAATCTGGGGGGAGATGAGGGCTCAGGAGGGCGGGGAGCCGCAGATAGAGGGGTGAGAGCTCAAAGAGGAGAGGGGGTTTCAGAGGGAAGAGGGCTCAGAGGGGCCAGGGGACACGAGGGAGGGTCCGGGAGGGTGGAGAGGGCCAGAGAGAGCGCGAGGACACCCAGACGGGGGAAGGTCTCAGCGGGGCCGCTGGCAGGTACCACGACGCGGGTGAGGGACTGGGTCAGCGAAATCCTCTGGTCGCCATCCTGCACGCCGAAGAGGACGAAGGCCACTCCATCCACGTTCTTCCCATATAAGAACCTGTGAGGCGAAGAGGGTCTCAGAGCCCTGCTCCTGGAAAGCCAGCCGAGGACCTAGAGCCGGCCCGGCCCGGGCCCCGCCCCTCCTGGCCCGGCCCCGCCCCTCCCGGCCCGGCCCCGCCCCTCCGCTCAGCTGGCCCCACCCCTCCTTACTTGGCCGTGATGACGACCTCCAGGCCCCTGAGCTCGTCGATGTAATAGAATTTCTCGGTGGGCTCCACTTGGACCTCAAAGCTGGGTAGCACTGTGGGGGACAGAGGATGGTAGCGGGGCCAGAAGGGGCCGGCGGTCCAGGGTGGGTGGTCCCGCCCGCTCCTGCCTCCCCTTACCGTACTCCTTTATCTCAAATTCCGCGGAGAAGACCTGCTGTGGAGAATCTTCGTAGTGGCCTCGGATCTTCCACTGCCCCAAGCTGGAGCGGGGTCGGGGAGGGCCGGGTGAGTGGCCTGGCCCAGCCTCACAGCCCCCTTACTCCTGCTCTGGGGATAGGGGAGCCCCAAACCCCCTCCAGGAAGGCCCGCCATACTTGACCAGCTCCGGGATGTTCCAAGACAAGGGCAAAATGCCAACATGATTTTGAGACGACAAGGGGTCTCTCTTGATGGAAACGCCATCGGGGGTCTGCAGGAAGACAGGGAGGGGAATCAGAGGCCAGCCTCAGCCCCTGGGCTCTCCCCACCTCTCTATGTCTGGACCCCCTCTCTGTACCCTGTCTACACCGGGGCAGCACTGAAGAGCATAAACCTGAGCTCAAATCCCCATGGTGCTACTTGCAAGCTGTGTGACCTTGGATGAGTTTCTTAACCTCTCTGTGCTTAATGAGCATATCCATATAATGGAGATAATAATAGCACCTCCCTCATTGGTTTGGGACATAGTTCATATAACCATGAGCTCATTATTATCAGTGAGTCTAAATAATAATGATCAGAACAACTAGCATTTTTTTAGGGATTAATTTTGTGCTGAGGGAGCCCTGGTACCACAGTGGTTAAGTGCTTGGCGGCTAACCCAAAAGGTCAGCAGTTGGAATCCAGAAGGCGCTCTAGAGGAGGAAGATGAGGCAGTCCACTTTCATAAAGATTGACAGCCTTGGAAACCCTGTGGGGCAGTTCTCCTCTGTCCTCTAGGGGCGCTGTTGAGTCAGAATCGACTCCACCCCAGTGGGTTTGGTTTGGGCTTTGCTTCCATTAAGAGTAAAGAGCTCTTGTGGCATGGTACCTAAGGCATTTGAGTGCTAACCAGAAGGTTGGTTGTTCTGCTCTGTGAAAGGAAAATGGGGCAATCTACTCCTGTAAAGACTTACAGGCTTAGAAACCCTATGGGGCAGTTCTACTCTGTCCTCTAGGGGCCCTGGGAGTCAGAATTGAGCACCCCTGCTCCTGCATGGGGGTGAGGGGGTGGCAATTTTCTGTCAGACACTGTGCTAAGCATCTGATGAGACTGACCCACATTTAATCGCCTGTGCTTGACTTGTTGCTGTTAGGTGCCGTCCAGTGGGCTCCGACTCATTGCAACCCTGTGTACAACAGAACAAAACACTGCCCTGTCCTGTTCCAGACTCACGATCCCTGCTAGACCTGAGCCCATCGTTGCAGCCATTGTGTCAGTCCATCTCGTTGAGGGCCTTCCCCTTCTTCGCTGACCCTCTACTTTACCAGCATGACATCCTTCTCTGGGGAATGGTCCCTTCAGACAACATGACCAAAGTAGGTGAGATGAAGTGTGGCCATTCTCGCTTCCAAGGAACATTCCGGCTACACTTCTTCCAGGACACATTTGTTCGTTCTTCTGGAAGTCCATGGTACTTTCAGTATTCTTCACCAACACAACTCAAAAGCATCGACTCTTCTTTGGTCTTCCTTATTCATTGTCCAGCTCTCACATGCATACAAGGCGATTGAAAACACCATAGCTTGGGTTAGTCGTACTTTAGTCTTCAAAGAGACATCTTTGTTCTTCATCACTTTAAAGAGGTCTTTTGAAGCAGATTTGCCCACTGTTAATATGTTGTCTGATGTCTTGGCCGAGTGTGTTCTTCCCTTTTGGTTTTCTAACTCCGTGTCTTTGCACATTTCATTATAGTAATTGGCTTTGTCTGCTTGAGCTGCTCTTTGAAATCTTCTGTTCAGCTCTTTTATCTTGTCATTCTTCCATTTGCTTTAGCTACTCTCCATTCAAGGGCAAGTTTCAGAATCTCTTCTGACATCCATTTTGGTCTATTTTTCCTTTCCTGCCTTTTTAATGACCTTTTGCTTTCATCATGGATGTGATGTTCTTGATGTCATCCCACAATTCCTCTGGTTTTTGGTCATTGGTGTTCAATGAGTCAACTCTATTCTTCAGATGTTCTCTAAATTCGGGAGGAACATAATCAAGGTCATATTTTGGCTCTCATGGGCTTATTTTAATTGTCCTCAGCTTCGACGTGAGCTTGCATATGAGCAGTTGATGGTCTGTTCCACAATCAGCTCCTGGCCTGGTTTTGGCTGAAGATATTGAGCTTTTCCACCGCCTCTTGCCACAGATGTAGTCAATCTGATTCCTGTGTGTTCCATCTGGTGAAGTCCACCTGTAGAGCCGCCGTTTATGTTGTTAAAAAAAGGTGTTTGCAATGCAAGTCATCAGTCTTGCAGAATTCTGTCATGCGATCTCTGGCATCATTTCTATCACCAAAGTGGTATTTTCCAACTACTGAATTTCTTTGCTTCCAACTTTTGCATCCCAATCACCAGTAATAATCAATACATCTTGACTGCATGTTTGGTCAATTTCAGACTTCAGAAGTTGGTAAAAAATCTTCAGTTTTCTCATCTTTGGCCTTGGTGGTTGGTGCATAAATTTGAATAATAGTAGTATCAACAGGTCTTCCTCATAGGTATATGGATATTATCGTATCACTGACAGCATTGTACTTCAGGATAGATCTTGAAGCATTCTTTGTGATGGTGAATGCCACCCCATTCCTCTTCAATTTATATCGTATGATTGTCTGATTCAAAATGGCCTAAACCAGTTCATTTCAGCTCAGTAATTCCTAGGATATTGATCTTCATGCATTCCATTTCATTTTTGACAACTTCTTATTTTCCTAGATTCATACTTCGAACATTCCATGTGCTGATTATTAATAGATGTTTGCAGCTGTTTCTTCCCATATTGAGTAATGCCACATCGGCCCATAGAGCTAAGCACCAGCTGTGTCTTAGAGGAGGTGTATGCTCTCTGTTCCCCACAGACCCCACGCCTCCCTAACCCCCTCACCATGGAGTTGATTCCAACAGTTCCTTACAGAGCGAATGCTCTACAGGCTTTGCTTTTTCTTTCTTAATTTTTTTTTTTTTTTTGATAGTTTAAGTGAAAGCTTACCGAGCAAATTAGTTTCCTGCACAGATTCCCCACAGTGTGCCAGCGCTCTCGCCATTCCCACCTTGAGTCCCCATTGCCGTTAGCCCAGTGTTCCCGCCTTCTGAACTTTGCTTCTGGGCAAATGCTTCCCTGTTGGTCTCCAATAGTTGATTGCTCTGAGGAGTGCTCTTTTCCTTACAGGTGTAAGGTACAGGTCTGCCCATGATGTGGCTGAAAGGTGATCTCCAGGAGTGGCTGTAGCATTTTCTTGGCTACAATCTTTACAGAACCAGATCACCAGGCCTTTTTTCCTTGGTGCAGCTGGGTGGGTCTGAACCTTTAGGTTAGTTAAAAACTCACTGCC